ATGCTTTTGAGCCTTTAAATGCCTTTCTGCCGTCCGTCTCCTTGCATCGCCAGATACCCTTTTTCGTTCGGTCGTTTTCGGTGAAAAAGCGCCATTTTTCCTTACAAGAGAAGCTCGTAGGTAGCCATGCCCGTTTATGGTCGGGTTATTACTCCCGTATGCGCTGTAAAAACGTGCTGGCCTTCCAAATCTGCTTAAAGGCAAACTCCGGGATAAAACGTGGTACTTATCTGTTCTACTATGAAGTACTGGGTGCTAAGTGAATCGAAGCTGAAGAAAAAAAAGCAGAAAATTCTCTCAAAGAAGTCCAAAATAAGAAAGTTCTCTTCGTTAGTCGCTTAAAAGTCAGGGCTGGGAGAATTACGTGTCTTTACGTGTCTACAACAACTGTTGGCTTTATGCCAGCAACCGACACGGCTAAAAAAGTCAGCAATGAAAATTGATTGCTTCTAATTTCGCTATTTTTTCTATTTACCTGCGCTTTTTTTTTTTTTTTTTTTCCTATCTCAAAAATTAGACTATCACTAGAATGAAGACTAGGTTCTCAATAATGGTCTTAACCTAGGCTTTGATGTTGGTTTTTGCAATTGAAATAAATAAATGTAAACTAATAATAAAATAATAAATAAATCCGCTAAATATTCCTCTACGACCTTCCAAATAACAATTTAACATCTAGTGTTTTATGTGGTTGTTTGGAAGATCGCACGGAAAAGTGGGCGGGCTCAATGGGGTTGGGGCGGCGCCAATGCTCCAACCTGGGCTCCTAGCGCCTAAACCTTGTCAAATCGCCCCGCCACTTCTGCACATGGTCTGCCCTTGCGTACTGCTGCATATTTGACGGGGGAAACCTAAATTTCGCTAGAAATCCCAAACTTTGCCTTTAAAGGCCCTATGGATAAAGCGATTAAAAGGGTTCTACTCGCTGGATTGCAAAGTGACCTGGGAGCCTTTCTTGCTCCCATTCTCCGACCCCAAGGCGGTCCGAATCACGGTACGCTCAGGCTCCAATGAAAGCTTTTTGCTAGAAGCCGTGCTAAAACGCTCAGACCAAGAGCCACTGCACTATAAGAAAGGGAAATGGAGTTCAGAATATGTCTCATCAGAGCTCATAGGTTCGCCTGAATTGGCCCAAATTTGCAAAAAGCCTATGGTCTATTTATGACAGTGGCCATTCCATCTGATGACGCACAATGTGCTTGCACAAAAAAAGTATCACACAAATGCTCTCGAGAGACTCGTGTGGCGCAGTGCTCAAAGACGGGTTCTGACGTAAACACAGCTGCCAGCTGAGTTCTGTGCTGCCAGTGAGCACGTCTTCCATCCATTTTGGACCCTTTGATCTGCACTGTTAAGGCGGGGTCCAGTAGAGCATCCTCTCAACTTCGCGACGACACGTTCCCAATAAGACCCTCTCAAAGGCAGGGTCTGGGCTCAGCCTTACCTGAAGAAGTCCTTTCGTGGGAAGAGGTGCCAGGTAAACTGCAGAAGTCGCATCACCTTTAAACCTCGAAACGCGTCACTAAGACGCGATGTTGTCTGGATCGTACGGCTTCTTTTCCCTCTCCGCGACTCCCATTATTTCTAAATTCGCTGCCTGCTTCTCGGACTTTACCACAACGTACATAGAGCAAGGTGGTTTTTATCTTCAGTGTTTTTGGCAAATTCCTTTTTTCTCTACTTACCGTCCACTCCGTATCTCTACTGTCATACCCGAGTGGGATTGCCACACCAATCTGGCCCTAGACCTTGCCTTTAAGTTCACCTCGCGAATTGGCCTCGGGCTAGAAATTTAAAGGGTAGCGCCCGTTGAGTAGGCTATGGTGCGCGCTCGGAAAAAGTTTGTTTTCCTTTTTTCCTGCAAATTGCATCACCTCATTGTGCAAGGTTGGGTGGTGAGCGCCAGGGTGAGGTATAGCAACCATAACAGGAACTATGCATAGTAAATAACTTTCCCATCATGGAACATCACAGCATAGTCTTTCCTGAATTGATTATTTGTTACCAGGTTTGCCTGGGAATGGAGCATCCCTCCTGTCAACATATTTTACTCTCTGTAAACCCATTTTTGTCGAATCTCCCACGACTAGATGCAAGTTGTGTGGCGTGTCCCAGCAGGACTATTCCTGAGCGCTCCCCGAACCCTTTTTTGCTCGCTGCTGTACTGTTCTATTCCCGCCTCCCCACCCCCTCCGCCACCGCTTCTCCTCCGAAAAAGTCATGTACAGCTCCCAAGTTATAAAAGAAATGCTTTGAAGTCAGTGTAGTTGTTACCGCGGGTCTTTCCAATGATTCGAAGATTCCTTTTTTGAAGTTCGTTTCACTCCTCATAAGCCCCTTCTCTATTTGGTATCGGCCTCATAGGCGAACTTAAAGGCAGTGGCCATATGGCTGGAAGTTGTTGCGATTTTGATGAGTTACTGAACCTATGGTGAAAGGGAGTTGAGAGGCGGTGCCCACAACCCCAGCGCGCTGAAAGGTTTGTTTAATCAATAACGATTGATGACGTCATCGAAATTGCACCACCAGCCACCACCGTGGTCACTGCCTTTAAGTCTAAGACAGTGAGAAGTGCCCACTAAAATTTGCCTAACTCAAATTTTCTGGGTTGATTCCTTTAGGAGTGGCCCGATTTCGAGACTTTCAGTTGACACAACTACCACGCTTTTGAAATTGAGCTTCCTTAACCGACCAACCACCCTTCCAGGCGCCTTAACTGGCCTGCAGGGGATGAGTGCAGCACCATTTAGCACATTTTCGACTAGCTTGGCCCTAGAAAGTTCAGCAACGCCTGGCGAGGGGTAGTATCGGTGGGGCGATATGAAAATTCAACCGACAGTAGGCTTATGGGCTTTTCCTTTGGTTTTCAACGGAAATCTTCGTTTTGCCATGCAGCCGATTCAAATTCAATTGAAAATGTATTTTCGCTGAGAAAATCACATTATAAAGTCGATTTCCATGTGATATGTGCTTTGATGTCTCCAGCGTCAGCCAGCTTCAAGTTTCCATTTTCAGACGACTCCAAGGAAAATTCATCGGCCGAGGCCTCATCGGCTACAAGAAGCCGTTCGTCAAGCTTTGCCGAAGCTGCAACGCCCAGAAGCCAGTTAGTTCATCGTCCTTCTATTCTCAGAATTGCCGAACCCTAACTATGCTAATCTGTTTAGACTTTCCGTCTGTCGAACTCACAGCTCTGGTCTGCACGGTGACGACAAAATGCACAAAGAATCCGGTTCACCACTTTCACAGAAATCCTCGTCCATCGTACATCTTCCGGACAAATCGGACAAAGGTACGAACTTCCATGGTCCTTTTTGTGGCCCGTCCACTGCGCTGCGCTTTGTGTTCCGATTTTCGGTAATTGTGGGAATGACCTCCTTTCTGAGGTTGAGGCCAGGTTCTGTTCAGTTTTATGAGAATTCTAAGAATTCATCCAGCGATTGTTTTACAAGAATGCTTGGCTTGTGAACAAAACTTTCGCCCCAGGCGGGACTCGAACCCGCACCTCTCGCTTACCGGGCAAGTGCGCTACACGTTACGCTACCGGGGCACCGTTTTGCCCCAGCTCAACTTTCCATAGGTAAGCACGGTACAAACAAGAAAGAGCTAATATCCAGCGTTGTTTCCACTCTCCAACACTGCGTGAATAACCCATGACCCACGCAAGACAACGCGTCTAGCAAACTTTGTGGAAAGGTTCTGCCATGTCTCTCAGGCACCTAGAATACAGTCACCAAATTGTGGACAAACCCTTCCCCCGGGTACCACAACCCTTTCCTTTTTCGATTGCCAATTTCCAATTCCTGAAACACGTCACGCTTTTTCAGCTCAACCTTGCGTTCGACCTAACCCACCCAGCTTTTCAGCGGTTAAGAGTGCGTCGACGAAAAGCTCAAAGAACGGGGTGTCTCCGCTAAGGGCGCAACTCTCCAAGGACAGGCCCACATCAAGCAGTGTCAACGGTAAGTGAATTATGTATAGCTTTCAAATCGCTAGTTATTTTGATCTACCTTATGTGGTCGGGCTCTTCTGTTGAGACCGACCGTACCGTGAAAGCAAAGTTGCGGTCCGTTCCACATACCTGATGGAATTTCAGCCATACCGGACAAGGCAAGCTCCGCACCCCTGGTCTCGTCGTCTCTCTGTCCTCACCGCCGCTCAAATACTGCTCATCCGGAAGACCTGGGCACATGCACGGAATCAAGGCGCTCTGGAGCCAGCAATCAGCATATTCAGGCATGTTCCCTTCAAAATATCTGTTCTTTTGTCAGTGATATTACAGCTATAAGTTCCCCTTGCAGGAATTCTTTTTTCAAGAATCCCGAGATTCGTTCGATGATGATGCATGGCACGAAAAACGCAGGACATGAGCGATTAAAGGTAAGCAGGTACAAAGGTTATGGGCCAATATACGAGAGCTGACGAGGCGA